TGGGAACAAGAAATTTTCGAGACGGATCTTTCCACCTCCAGCCCGGTGAGCGCCTCTCCTGGGAACAAGAAATTTTCGAGACGGATCTTTCCACCTCCAGCCCGGTCAGCGCCACTCCTGGGAACAAGAATTTTTCGAGACGGATCTTTCCACCTCCAGCCCGGTGAGCGCCTCTCCTGGGAACAAGAACTTTTCGAGACGGATCTTTCCACCTCCAGCTCGGTGAGCGCCACTCCTGGGAACAAGAAATTTTCGAGACGGATCTTTCCACCTCCAGCCCGGTGAGCGCCACTCCTGGGAACAAGAAATTTTCAAGACGGATCTTTCCACCTCCAGCCCGGTGAGCGCCACTCCTGGGAACAAGAAATTTTCGAGACGGATCTTTCCACCTCCAGCCCGGCGAGCGCCTCTCCTGGGAACAAGAAATTTTCGAGACGGATCTTTCCACCTCCAGCCCGGTGAGCGCCACTCCTGGGAACAAGAATTTTTCGAGACGGATCTTTCCACCTCCAGCCCGGTGAGCGCCTCTCCTGGGAACAAGAAATTTTCGAGACGGATCTTTCCACCTCCATCCCGGTGAGCGCCTCTCCTGGGAACAAGAAATTTTCGAGACGGATCTTTCCACCTCCAGCCGGTGAGCGCCTCTCCTGGGAACAAGAAATTTTCGAGACGGATCTTTCCACCTCCAGCCCGGTGAGCGCCTCTCCTGGGAACAAGAAATTTTCGAGACGGATCTTTCCACCTCCAGCCCGGTGAGCGCCTCTCCTGGGAACAAGAAATTTTCGAGACGGATCTTCCCGCCTCGTGACCGCCTCTCCTGGGAATAAATCCAGGTGTAGCAAGGATCCATAGCTCAATCGGAAGAGGCGTTGCAGCTCTGAAGCTAGGAGGCCACGGGCTCGATTCCACCCGAGACGGATCCTCGCCGAGAGACGGTTCTTTCCACCGCCAACCCGGCGAGCGCCTCTCCTGAGAATAAAAAAAAAATGCGCCGAGAGACGGATCTTTCCACCGCCAACCCGGTGAGCGCCTCTCCTTAAAAGACCTTTATTTCCTGGTCCGAGACGGATCATTGCCAAGAGACGGATCTTTCCACCGCCAACCCGGCGAGCGCCTCTCCTTAAAAGACCTTTATTTCCTGGTCCGAGACGGATCATCGCCGAGAGACGGTTCTTTCCACCGCCAACCCGGCGAGCGCCTCTCCTGAGAATAAAAAAAATATGTCCTGGTCCGAGACGGATCATCGCCGAGAGACGGATCTTTCCACCGCCAACCCGGTGAGCGCCTCTCCTGAGAATAAAAAAATATATCCAGGTCCGAGACGGATCATCGCCGAGAGACGGATCTTTCCGCCAGGTCTCCGACCTTCACGCTGTAGGGTTTTTGGCCTAACCAACCAATTATTGGTTGATGCCCGCGTAGAGTTCAGCTACCAGTCTGAGCCAACCCGGCGATCCTGAGAATAAAAAATCTAGAGAAGGATCTTATAAGAAAAATGATCCTCGGCTTAGTCCGGGATGCTCAGCCGATCCGCAAGCTCTGCCGTGGCCGCGCTCGCAATCTCCTCGCACAGCGCCGTAGGAATGCAGTAAAGCAGCTTGCGCGACTGCCCTCTGACCCTCTCGCGCTGGCCCCCCATGAGCCCACGCATCGCACCGGCAGCCGCTCCTGCACAGCCCTCGGCTCGGCCTCCAGTGCATGTTGGTCCACAGCCTCGTCTGCTTCCTGTACGGAGTCCCGTACTTGCAGTAGGTAACGTCCACCCAGGGCAGGCGCTCCATGAACGGTCGGGTCTTCACCCACAAGCGGCTCTGAGCACCAGCGCGTCGCCCTCCTCGAGCCGTCGAGGGCGCATCGTCAGAGCTCGGCTGTACTCCGCGCAGACCGGGCTGGCCCAGACCATGTCAAAGTGCCCCGGCGGAAACAGCGTGTAGTCCCAGCTCCGGATGTCGCACAGGATCGTGGGCTCAAATTTCGACACACCCTGCCGCCTCGAAGGCTCGGCCAATCGACTTTGTGCCGCAAAACAGCTCCAGTCTCGGCATGTTTAATAATCACCACCAGCACGACGAAGCACGCGCAGGCGACGGCGCGGCTCAAGCAGTTTCGCATGCTCGGACCAAGCTTTTTTTAATCGGAGACAGAAAAGGATGACGAGCCAGACAAGCATGTGGAACTTGGGCGAGGTGCGCTCCAATGCTACGGGCGGCAAGTTCTTGAGCCTGGAGCCGCTGTTTTGGCAGAGCGAAGCTTCGCTGGAAATCCCATGGGAGCCCAGGGCTTTTTCCGAGGGGCAGCGCCCCAGCGTGAGCTTCGCAACCGACGAGCGCACGAGGCTCTTCTGGGAGATCTGGTCGAGCAGCTGGCGGCCGCGTCCGAGCGCGTCTTCGAGGCGAAGCTCACGCCCGAGGCTGTGCGCCAGCGGCTGCTGCCCGCGGCGGCCATTGGATGCTGAAGGCCAAGCTGCCTGCGCGCGCTTCTGGAACGCTGGCGGCACGTTTGCGGACCGCCCCGCAGAGCTGGCCCACTGCGCCGCGCGCGTTCGAGCGCGCAGCTTGTGGCTGATGAGCGGCATGTGCGGCTTGAGTCTTGAGGTCACGGATCTGCGTGTGGAGCCACCGTCTCGCGAGTGCCCGTTGTAGTTTCTTCCGATGCCGCAGCCTATTTTTGCTCATTAAAAAAAATCAGAATGGCCACCCACATCCTGGAGCGCCGCGAGCAGCTGAGGCCTCTGCTGAGGGCCGCTGCCGACGCCGAGGCGCTGAAGCGGGCTTTGGAGGAGGTGAGCCGCCTGCATGATGAGCTCACTCGGGGAGCGCCCGTGCTGGAGCGGCTGCTAGCTGATGGGGTCGCCGGCAGGTTCCCGGCGGAGGAGGTCGACATCCAGGACTGGAGGGAGATGCTGAAGCAGGTCCAAGAGCTTCGGCTCAAGCTGCGCAAGCTGCTCCGCTCCCGCGGAGGCCAAGGAGCGCCAGGACAAGAGCTGCGAGACGCTCCGCGAGAAGCGCGAGGCCCTGAGGCAGCGCCGGATTTGCACGAGCGACATCGCCTTGCTGGCGCAGATCGAGAGGGAGCTCTACGAGGTGGAGGAGCGGCTCGTCAGCAAGAAAATCGCCGAGCGGCTGCCGGTCTCGCTGGCGGCCAAGAGCGCACGCGGCTCCTCCAGAGGCACGGCCCGGACGGCGCTGCGTTTTTGACGAGGAGCTCGACTCCCCGACAGCGGCCGCGGCGCCCCAGACGGGCGACCCTGGCGACCGACGGCTTGCCGCTTCGGGCAGCCGGCCGGACGCAACCCCGCGCCAGGACTCAGAGGAGCGGAATGTCGCCTCAGACAGCCTTGGCGACGGAGGGCTTGCCGCTGCGGGCGGCCTTCCGACTGCAGCACCACGGAGAGACTTACTCATAGCGGACTTGGTAATGTACCTCAGGTCCGTCGTGGTGCGGAGCGGCAAGTTTTCCGTGGAGGAAGTGCTTCTTGATTGATGAGCTCACCGCGGCGCAAGAGCTGGCCAGTTGGCAGGAGCCACTCACCTCCGTGGGCCTTTGGTCTCCTGAAGATCTCGCAGGCCAGCAAACCGAGACGACCATGAAGGACGATCTGTGGCAGGCGCTGGAAAGCGCGAATGCATCTGCGCCGCAGATGCGCACGGCCGCTCGCTTCGGCGCCGCACGCATCCCGGGGCTCCCGATCCTGGACCCACCGACGGTGCAGTCCCGGAACCAGCTGATCAGGCGGCCCCAGATGCGATCAGACAGCTCGGAGATCATGGCGCGAATTGGTTTGAGCTGAATAAATTGCTTTCTATAGAAAAAATAATAAATATTCAGTCGGTCGGACGAGCGCGTCTTTTTTCTGTCTGTGCTCTGTACGGGATTCAGCATCTACCGCGTCACAGCGAGTCGGCGGCGCTGCCCTGCAGGTTCAGCGCTGTGACCGAACTGCGCCCGCGTGGGGCCGCATGGACCCGTGGGCAGCAGGTCTTCACCATCGACGCCATGCGGCTGCTGGTGGACCGGCTCCAAGACCTGCTGGCCATTCGGCTGCCCTTCCTCGCCAAGGTCAGCTTCCAGATCCTGCTGACGCCCCCCCCTGGCTGCGAACGATGAGGACGAGGACAGGGTGGGGTGAGCTCACGCTCTACTTCGTGAGGCCCGCGCCTCCCGTCGGCCCGCGCCGGAACCATGATGGCGGCCATCAGGACGAAGTTCGAGGTCGCGCTCGACTGCAAGTCGGGCGAGAAGGGCTGGGCTGAGTTCGTGGAGCATGAACGTCTTCCCCACGAGCCTGGCCAGCATGATCGACGACCTCAGGGCCTGCACCCACAAGCAGCTGCCAGAGCTCTTCCCGCTGATGGCCTCGCTTCACCCCCGACTCTCCGCCTCAAACAGCGGCGGACGCACTGCGACCTGGAGCAGGCGTGGGACTGCATCCTGCATGCCCTTCGAGCACTTCTGCGGCGCCGGAGGCGTGGGAGATGCCTGCGGTGTGGGAGCAGCACTGCTACGACAGCGTGCTGGCTGGAAAAGCGGTGAGCGCAGAGGACCACAGGCTGGCCGTCAACACCGCCAATCTCACAAGACCTTCCGTGAGTTCCACGACTGCTACCTCCACACCGACGTCCTGGCCCTGGCGGACGTGATGGAGAGCTACCGGGACAGTCGGGGCTCAACCCGATCCACTACGTCACGCTGCCCGGAGCCGCCTGGGACGCCATGCTGCGGCACTCGGCCCGCGAGACTCCCACTCACCTCATCACCGACGAGCAGGCCTACGCGGACGTGCGAGCCTCTGTCATGGGAGGGCTGAGCTGCATCTTCCAGCCCTTCGCTCAAGCCAACAACCCCGAGCTGGGCGAGGAGGACTACAACCCCGAGGAGCCCGTCAGCTAAATCTTACTTGGGCTTCAACGCCATGTGCCCGGCCGCAATGACGCTGCCCATGCCCACGGAGAAGGCTCCAGACGCGGTTGCTTCGCTTGCGGCGATGCTTCGAGCACAAGGAGCGGAGGACACGGAGGCCGTTAGATGGGCGCAGACGGTGGTGGACAAAGTTGGAGGCCCGAGGGCGATGCGCACGGCAGCTGAGACGAATGACCAGCAGGTATTTTGGGACTCGCGTTGGCCGCAGGAGCAAAGCTGCCAAATCTGAAGGGGGCTCACAGGCAGAGTGCCCCGGCACTCTGCCTGGCGAGACACTTCACGCTGCGCAATGGACACGCGAAAGACGATAAAGGGCAGCCTGCCACAATCCTCACGGATATTGCAGCGCATTCGGATGCGGCGATTCTCATGGACATGGAGGCGGCGATGCCTTATCTGGCGAGTGAAGTCAAGTGCAACCTGCCGATGGCTCTGCTGGTGATGGGACATGATTGTCGGTGCCAGAGAGATGATTGCAAGAGGATCTCGGTGCCGGCTTTCGATGCGCAGCAGCAACCTGTGATACTTGCAGTCACAGCTCATCAGATGAGCGATCACAGGATCAGCTTCGCCCCGGCATCCATAAAGCAGGTGACGGTCGAGCAGACGATCGTTTCAGCCTTTGCAATTTACAAAGACGAGCTGGATGAAATTCAATGGAACCGCATGAAACAGGCGCCTGTTAGAACCACTTTGGAGTTTTTTCAGGACGGCAACGCAATCCTGCGGGGTACGCCATGGAGGAGAATGTGGACCAAAAATTCCAAGGTGGTGCCGTGGAGTCAAGCTGAAACGTTCGGTTTCTTGGCACGCCTGAGCCGCATTGGGCTTGAAAAAGTGTTGAAGCAAAGCGGCCACAATCATGTGTACCTGCGCCCACTACAGACACCTTCGGAGAAGGAGGTGGAATTTGTTGTCATTTGGATGGAGAGTGAAAGCAAAAGGGAGAACGCGATTCTTTTGGCAAAGCAATGCGATGCACAAATGGGGCTGGTCAGATCGCGCAAGGGCATGGGCATCCGGGTGCTCAGAACGGATCACAAAAAAGTCTGGCAACAGCTGAGGCCGGGTGAGCAAGAGCCGGAGGTTCGATCGGGGAGGGTCCTTTTTAAGGTCCAACCGCTTCCCAAGGGACTCACCATAACGGCATGGATGATAGCAGCGAAGAGTGCGCCGGCAGATGAATTTCAAATGTTCAATGAAAGCCCGGTGCTGATTAAGCCATTGCAGACAAGGGAGCCCGGGGCAACACCACAGATTTTGGCAGGGATGACGAAACAGGAGCCGCAGAGACAGGACGACCCGCTCTGGGTGAATGATCCGTGGATGAAGAGTCTCGGACGCTCAAGCGTGCCGATCCAAAGTGCTACAGTTGCAAGTGGCTCGCAAGCACAGGGACCGGCTGTCACCAAATTGGAACAGAAGGGGGTGAGCAGAAGCAGATTCGGGGTGATTTCCGGGAGATGGCAACCAAGACCCAGGAGGAATTGGATAAGGTGAGCAAAGGTTTTGAAGCAACCATGATGAAACTCAATGCGAAGCAAGATGCACAGATGACACGTGGATTTGATGAGCTGCGACAGCTCATCTTGAACATGCAGAAAACAGATGGCCGAGACAAGCGACAGAGACGAGACAAGGACACTGGGCGGGAGGACATGATGTCTGACTGAAGCCAGGAGGCCGGGGCGTGCAAAGCCTTTTTTTCGGGAATAGACCGTAAAGGCGAACAAGGACCGGTGTGGGGATTTTTACACAATTGGTCAAATCGCTGGGTGCAGATGCTTTCCCGCCCACTACAGCGTTACAATTGTGCTAATTCGGGGGAGGCTTGATGGCCTCACGCATGGGGAGTACTTGAAAGGTACCAGAGTAGGAGAAGCTAAGAATCCATTTGTATACCAGGCTGGATGAGGTGATGTCATGCAAGGCCGATACCGTGTGCCTGGCCGAAACTGCATCGACAAGTGATGCACAGATCAGCATTCGGAGCCAACTCTCTTCGACGGGCTTCAAAGCCTTCTGGGGGGCACCGGCACCGGTAACGGTTCCGCATTATGCGCAGGGGAGAGCAAATATGAGAGGTGGAGCATGTGGAGTTGCAGTTATCAGCAAATCGGTGTGTCGACCGTTTGCATGGCAAAATGAAGAACCTGACCTTGTGAAAGCTGCAAGAATGATGAGGTGTATGGTTCGCATGGGACCTTTTACGGTTCAAGTGGTGGTCATATATGGAGCATGTAGTGGAGCAGGCAAACAACAAGTCAACGAGCAACTTTTGAGTGACGCATGGATGTGGGTGAAGTCTTATCAGGGTCTGAGTATCGTCACTGGTGATTTCAACACACCCCCTCAGGGCTTGCAATCTTTTGCGCCTTTCCAACAGGCGGGTTTTCATGAGTTTTTTGAGTACTATGAACTTTCCAGAAATGTCCGACTCCCGCCTACCTGCAATGGAGTGACACGCAATGACACGTGTATCGTGCCATCGCGATTGCTGCCTTATATCTCCGTTGCAGAGGTCCGACATGACAAGAGGATCGCAAACCACACGCCCCTGTGTATTGATTTCAATTTTGCACAGGAAGATGTGGACAATGTGATATGGTCTATGCCACAGAATTGGGCCGACTTGCAGCTGAACCAGGCAGTGTTAGCGGCAGCATATGAACAAGTTTCTCAGGAACAAGATTTGCAGTCGGCTTTCCAGGACTGGAGCGAACAATGCCTCAGACAATCAGAAGCAGTTGAGGAGGCAGTGGCTAGGGTTTATCGTGAGACGCGACATTTTCCTTTGCCGAACACGTACCGTGGCAGGTGTACCTATGATGTGATGAAGTTCGAAGAAAAGAAGCAGGTGGCGAAGCAGGCATGGGATGGTGGTTATGACCCCACCTATGAATGTTATACTGTCCTTTCGCGACAGAGGGCCCGACAGGTAAGACGTATCCAGACTTTGCTGAATATGCGGAAGCAGTGGGATGCACAAGGATGGAACCAACATACTTCTTACACTGCATGGATACATATCCAAAATCAGTGGGCTGCCATTCAAAAGGCATCTGGATATGGCAGATCTTGGACCGCGTGGCTGGCGAAGGAAGGTGGGATCCCTGCTTTCTACGCCGAGGCGCCGCCTGTGATTTTTCTGGAGCAGATATATAAGGTCACCAAAGCTGATGCTGACCACTTGCTCCGACAGCACTTCAAGGCGCGAAATGCCCATGTGTGCCAAGCTGATGCCATTGATGTGAGGGATTGTAATGGATTCAGGGCGAGGGCAACCCGCCCATCCAGTGGCTGAATCATAATGTGAACGTACAAGGCAGGATGATCAGGAATGCATAGCCTTGGCAGAGGGAACGGAAGCCACTTTTGGAGAGGCACGTATTGCTGTCCAAGCGGTCAAGGCTCAGGATGTGGACGTCACGGTGATCTCAGGGGCGCTTCCCACGTCGGGAACTTTCCGGACCCATCAGATCATAAAGATTTTTGGGGCCAAATATGGAATCGTGATAGAACAGACACAACTTGGCAGGACCAGGATGGGATCAGGCACGTTGCCGAATGCGGTGAGGCCTGGCCTCAAATTCAGGTCGACTGGAATGATCTTGATATGTGGAGAGCTGTCCTGAGGCAACTCCCGTCAGGCAAGGCCCGCGGAGTGGACGGTTGGTCCTATGAGGAATTGCGCCAACTTCCTGATGGTGCAATCGAGCATCTAGGACATCCGACTTTTTCCGGATCCTGAGCAAAGTGACCGTCTGAAACCTGCTTTCGACCGAAAACGAGCGAATTTGGAGGCTTAGGCATCCCACTTGCAGTCCGACACGGAAAAACGAACTCTTCGGACTCGACCGTTTTGAGCGCTTTTTGCTCCCGGAAATGGGGCCGCTTTTGCGCACTTTTGCGACCAAAAATCGAGCGGTGACGAAGCGGTGACAAGCGGTGACGAGCTCGGCGGGCTGGAATTCGCAGGCTTTTTCGGGGCAGAAAACGGAATTCGCACGGCGAACGTCTGGAGCCGGTTTTCGGCGGAAAACGAGCGAATTTGGAGGCTCAGGCACCACTTTTGACGTCTGACTCGAAAAAACGAACTTTTCGGAGTTGGCCGTTTTGAGCGCTTTTTGCACCAAAAACGGAGCGGTGACGAAGCGGTGACATCGCTGGTGACGAGTTCAGCTGGTTGAAAATTATGCAGTTTTGGCGGGTTTTTTGGCAAAAAAACCAAAATTAATTGGTCCCTATAAGCAGCCTTTCCTTACTACTGCCTCCACGTTGGGCGAGCTAGTATCCTCGTGATTCGTATGACTCGGCGGGCTGGTGTGGGATGCCGGGGAGGTGGTGCGGCCGGGAGGCTTCTATGCCAGGCAGGTGGCGCGGCAGGGTGGCGCAGGCCAAGCGCCGTATGACCGTATGACCGTATGATCCGTATGATCCGTATGACTCGGCGGGCTGGCGTAGCTCCGATGCCGGGCAGGCGTGGTTGGGGAAGCTAGTGTCCTGGAAAGCGGGAGGATTTAAGGTCCACCTTATGGACATTAAAACACGTGATCCGTATGACTCGGCGGGCTGCGCGAAGTCAAATATTCTCTGTTTGTGAAGACACACAACTGGAGAAATAAATGAGTCAGCTTCGGTGAGTGAGCTTTGGGCGGTGAAGACAGAGCCCTCTCCTTTGCAGAGCACTCTCCTTTGCAGAGCACTCTCCTTTGCAGAGCACTCTCCTTTGCAGAGCACTCTCCTTTGCAGAGCACTCTCCTTTGCAGAGCACTCTCCTTTGCAGAGCACGCTTCTTTGCAGAGCACTCTCCTTTGTAGAGCACTCTCCTTTGCAGAGCACTCTCCTTTGCAGAGCACTCTCCTTTGCAGAGCACACTTCTTTGCAGAGCACTCTCCTTTGCAGAGCACACTTCTTTGCAGAGCACTCTTGTTTGCAGAGCACACTTCTTTGCAGAGCACTGCACTCTCCTTTGCGGGGATGGAGACGAGTCAGCTTCGGGCGCGAAGTCAAGTATTTTCTGTTTGTGAAGACACACAACTAGAGAAATAGATGAGTCAGCTTTGGTGAGTCAGCTTCGAGCGCGAAATCAAATATTTTCTGTTTGTGAAGACACACAACTAGAGAAATAAATGAGTCACCTTCGGTGAGTCAGCTTCGGGCGCGGTGAAGACAGAGCACTCTCCTTTGCAGAACACTCTCCTTTGCAGAGCACGCTTCTTTGCAGAGCACGCTTCTTTGCAGAGCACTCTCCTTTGCAGAGCACTCTCCTTTGCAGAGCACTCTCCTCTGCAGAGCACGCTCCTTTGCAGAGCACTCTCCTTTGCAGAGCACTCTCCTCTGCGCAGCACGTTTCTTTGCAGAGCACTCTCCTTTGCAGAGCACTCTCCTCTGCAGAGCACGCTTCTTTGCAGAGCACTCTCCTTTGCAGAGACTCTCCTTTGCAGAGCACTCTCCTGTGCGGGGATGGAGACGAGTCAGCTTCGGTCGCGAAGTCAAATATTTTCTGTTTGTGAAGACACACAACTAGAGAAATACATGAGTCAGCTTCGGTGAGTCAGCTTCGGGCGCATATTTTCTGTTTGTGAAGACACACAATTAGAGAAATAAATGAGTCAGCTTCGGTGAGTCAGCTTCGGGCGCGGTGCAGAACACTCTCCTTTGCAGAGCACGCT